TTTTGAATTGCCAACATTAATTATGAAAAGTACAATGAAAGCATCCAATATTCCTAATGAAATATTCAATGAAAGTGCACAGCATTAATTATGAAAGAGGCAATGAATACACCTGACCTAGGGAATGAGATATTTATTGAAATTGCACAACATTAATTATGAAAAGTACAATGAAAGCATCCAATATTCCTAATGAAATATTCAATGAAAGCGCACAGCATTAATTATGAAAGAGGCAATGAATACACCTAATGTAGTCAATGAAATATTTATTGAAACCACACAGGATTGATTATGAAAAAAGCAATGAAAGCGCCCAAAATTCCTGATGAAATATTCAATGAAAGTGCACAGCATTAATTATGAAAAAGGCAATGAATACACCTAACCCAGTGAATGAAATACCTATTGAAAGCGCACAGGTTTAATTATGAAAAGTACAATGAAAGAACTGAACAGCTTCAATGAAAAATTCATAGAAAGTGCATGATAATAATTATGAAAGCTCCTAAGAAATGTTATGAAAGGGTCCTGTTGTCTTTGCCTACATTTTATGAAAAGAACATAGCCTTTATGAGAAAGAATGACACAGGACACACCTATGAAAGGCCTTTCATAAAACTTGTGGACTTATACACACAGCTCTACAGGCAAGTGCCTTAGTTTTATGATAAAGATGGTAGCCACTTGTGCTCGTGGAATAAACAATCTGTAAGTTGCAATCCGCTTTCAAGTCAACTGCCGGATTTCAATGTGAGCCGAAGATGGCCTCATTTTTCAACATTGTGTTGCCTGATGCGGGAAGACTTACCAATCCACTGGAATATGCCCAAATAGCCCACAGGGTATTGAATCAGGAATATGAGGAGGGTTTGAGAGCTCAAGATGCTCTTTTGGAGGCAATGGCACACATAGAGGATCAGTTGAGGCAGTTGGATACTATGATCATGCTGAAGGAAGAGGAGCTTCAGATCGAAGCAAGGATTGAGAAGGCAGAGAAATTGGTGTCATAGTAGTGACCTCCCCCTGTCTTCGGATATATCTTTTGGCCTACTTTTTCATCAGTCCAGCATATGATCATGTGTTAAATAGCAATTGGGCCCAATGTTGCAGGATATTTCACAATTGGG